GGAAACTGGATAGATAGTCAGGGAGGGCTTCCTGGAAGAAAGGCCTTCCTGAAACCATCTTCCTAATGGATTTCCTACCCATTCACGGGTTAGGAGACCATCAGAAAGAGCCACGAGGACCACTCCAGTTGTCAGGAGAAAGAAACTGAGACGCAGGCAGGCCGACCTGGCCTGTTTCGGCATGCCTGGCTTTCTGACCATCTATGGCACTGAATACAGGAGCGACAGTGATTCATGTGAGTGAAAGGCTCGACTTCTCAGCCAAAGTCACCACACGGTGACAGGAATCAGAGGCAAGAGCCTCGGAGGTGAGAGACTGAGACTGAGGCTGGGCTTGAGCTGGGCTAGGGAGGTTAGGAAGGACGCTGCAGGGCAGAGAAAAGGGACAGACAAAATTCTATCAGGCAGTTTGGGGGTACTGATGGCGCATGCGCCCAGGGGTAAGGAAGGACAGCCTGTGACCAACTGGGAAAAGGAGGCAGGGGTGCCAGTCAGGCTGGGAGGGGTCTGGGATGCAGGGTGGGGGTAGGACCCAGGGATGCTTGAAAGCTGGAGATGGGGAGGGCTCGGTTGGGGGAGCCACAGCTAGGGCTGGACAAAGCCACAGACGGGTCCCTGGGAGACACTGACCAAGCCCCTCTACCTGTGGGTGACACTGCTGTTCAGTTGCTGAGTCGTGTCCAACTCTGCAACCTGCATGACATCAGGCTCCTCTGTCCTTCACTATCTGCTGGAGGTGGCTCAAATTCATGCCCGCTGAGTCGGTGATGCCATCCAACCACTCCATCCTCTTCCGCCCTCTTCTCCCTTGGCTTTCAACCTTGCCCAGCATCAGGGTCTTCTGCAATGAGTCAGCCCTTCGCATCCCATCAAAGCATCAGAGCCATGCCACCTGCTAAGTGCGGGGGCTAAACCACCTGCCACCTGTGGGCACTGCGCTGGTGCGTCCCACGTGCTTTCAGCCCGTCCCACCCCCGATGTGTCCTGCAGCACGGACCGGTTCTGGAACACTGATCCCTAGGTTACAGTCGACCCTCGAACAGGACCAGCCTGCACCCCTGGGACCCGGGTAGCTGAGCAAATGGGAAGCCCTGCCTAGAGCCCCAGGTAACTCTGGGGACAGGGGGCAGGCAAAGTTCCAACTGGGGAAGGAGACAGAGGCCCACCAGTTAAAGGGTTGGCATCTCAGGGGTTGAGAGCTAAGGCCGGCCTCCCAGCCTCCTCCCCAGCCTCCTTGAGGCTCATCTCCTCTCTGTGACTTGGCAGTCACCGCGTCCCACTAATTCCATCACCCAAGAACCTCTGCATCTGTCGCCCTTCTGCGTTCACTGCCCTGCCCTAGCCTGCCTTCATCATGTCCAGCCTGGAGCTATGTAGCCTCAGCTTTGATCACAGAATAAGGAGAACACTGGAAGAAGCAGATACAATGCCTGAGTGGCCCCCTTGGACAGCCCTCTGGCGCCTCGGTCTCTCCCTTTGCTCCCACCCCCATCTAGAGTCCAGCCACAGCTGACCTGAGCACTCGGCGACCCCTCCCCATGCAGCTTCCACATCCTTCCCCATCATGCCCCGGCCTCCCCACCCTGCACCACGACCCGGCTGCAGGGTCTCTTCTCAGTACCAGGCCTCCTCCATCAGGACCATATCCCATGGCGGGAGCAAGGCCAGCCTGAGGGTTGTCATGGCAACCCCCTTCCACAGCACTTAGCAAATCCCAAGATCACTGCCTTTTGTACCTGGGGGCTTTCCCCCCAGAGGTGAGGAGGTCCACGGGACCAGGGGCTGTGCCCAGCACACAGAGTCCTCAAGAAAGGTTTGGTGAGAGATGGAGGAAGACATTTCTTGCGCCACTGCTACAGCCAAGCCCAGGGGGCCCGGGAGGCTCCCAGACAAGGCGAGAAAGGAGCCACGTATTTGTGAGCTTTGGGAACGCAAGCCGTAGGTGATAAGTGAGTCAACACAGACTGGGGTTGCCAGCAGGACCTTTACAATGCTACTTCCTGGAACCTCTTGGGTCCCAGTTGGTTGTGAAAATCCCCCATCTCCGCACGGGAGCCGAGTGAACACTCACATGCGAGTGAACACTCACACGTGTGCTCACACACGTGTCACTGCCCTGTCCCTCAGAGACTGCCCGGGTTCACTGGCCAACAGGAAGCAGAGCTGGCCCGGCGGCCCTCGCTGCAACTGCCCTTGACGTCCGGCACACGCTTTGCCCCAGCCCTTGCTCAAGGGGGCGTCTGTCAGCTGCTGAGGGCCCCACCTGAACCCTCAGGTCTGTGCCAGGAGGGCCCTGATCAGAGGCAGCAAACCCAGCTCAGAAAGCAATCCAAGTCTCCCTTCTAACAGACGCCTTGACACTGTAGCGGGAGCTCGTTCACGCATATGATTTATTAACTAATTTAGCATGTAAGAAAAGCATCTGCATCTCGCTTTTATCATCTTGCCAGCAGACAGGCTGAAGACGAGATGCGGCCTGTAGACGTGCTTAATGGGGCCTTAAGCACTCCTGCGCTTGTCCAGAGCTCACACGAGGCTCTGGTTTCAGAACTTGTCTGAGTGGGCCGGCCTAACACAAACAAACACAAGGGTAAACCTCTCATCAGCCATAAATGCCACGGGGATCAGAAGAGCGGCTGTAAAATCATGTCCCGGAGCCCTCCCAGAACACTCTAGTCATCAGGACTGTCTCGGAACTGGGGAAATAAAAAGGTGCCTCGGTTATTTAAAACTACTGGCTGCGTCTCATCATCTTTTATTATTATACACAATTTTAAGATTTTTCAGTCCAAGGAATGTGAACATGTGAGGGTGATATCTGTTTGGGGGCAAAACATCACCGTTGGAGGAGAGTAGATAAAACTGTCTCCCTCACCAAAGGTGTGCTTCCTCCCCTGTTCCTGTGACTTGATTTAGAAATCGGATCCATGCAGGTGTGTGCAAGTTAAAATGGGGTCAGGCTGGGTGGATGGAGCTGGGCCCTGATGCGACGACCGGGGTCCTTGTGAGAGATGGAATTTGGTCACAGACACAAGGTGGGTGGAGGCAGGGAACAGAATGATACAACTGTAAACCAAGAAAGGCCAGAAGCTCCCAGAGCCAGAAGAGAGGCAGGGCACGGATCCTCTCTGCGCCTCCAGGAGAAATCACTCCAGGGGACACCTGGATTTTGGACTTCTGGCCTCGAGACTGTGAGAGGATCAATTTCTGTTCCTTGAGCCACCCAGCCTCAGGCCATTTCTTACAGCAGCCCTAGGAAATGAATACCCAGGACAAGGAAGCCTCCCTCTGACACTTGAGATGGCGATATTCCAGGCCACTGGGGCCCTGTATGGCACGACTGGAGGGCAGCTGGCCCAGGGGACAAGGATGGATGGTCTCATGCCTAACGAGTTCCCAAATGTTCATGAGTCTCCATTTTTTCTTACACAAGGTGATGGGAGCGGACTGAAAAGGGAGCCTGTTAGACATCATTTTTGTGTATACATATGTGGAGCTCTAAAGTGACACTTTCATACTTGTTGAGAACACGTTCGCTTATCTAACCACTTTCATCGAGCAGGATCTTCAAAACTGTTGAGGCCAAGTGGCCCGTGGCCCTCACGCCACAGGCTCCATGGCATCCTGGCAGCCCTCGCCAGGGCAAGCCTGGACCCGGAAGGCCCCGGGGGGACCCCCAGCTGTGGCTGACGCTTGGTCCCTCTCGCCAACTTGATACATCTGCACCCCAACCCAGATGGCTCTCTGTTGAGCCAGAAACTAAGGAGCCTGCAGAGAATACATCCACAGAGCCAATATCTGCCAATCAGCTTCAAACGCCAACTTGAGACACATTTTCAGGCAGGGAAAGTCTTTGCACATACATTTTGCTGATTTCCTTTCCTTAGCATCCTGGGAAGGGTCACCAGGGCCGAGCAGCAGGTGTCCCGCCAGATCCTTCACCATGGAAGGATGCGTTCAAGTTCACCTTTGCTGAGGTCTTGGATGACTCCCCCAGAAGAGCTCTGGGTGGGGGGGCAGGGGGGCGTGGAGGGGGACGTAGCCCGCCTGTGGTTAACAGGAATCCTATTCCAATGCCTGCTGTCCCTCAGCCGCTCTGTAAGATCCTGGTAATATTTGCTAAGCTGCATTTTATTGACTATGGTTATTTCCCCAGAGGACTTTTATTCAGAATCAGACCAATGATTTCACCTCCTGGGGCCCAGAACATTTTGCTAGGAAGATCTTGTTCCTCTATCCAAAGAAATAAAACAGAGGTTTCCCCAGGCCTCCAGATTTTAAGATTTGGGTTGGCAGGCCATCAGAATATGTTCCCATGTCCCCATCCTTGCCCTTGTCTCTTCTTGTTATTCTTTCTGGTTTAATAGTCTGTTTATAAGCTCCACGAACAAAAGGACGGAGGCCAGCCTTGCTCACCGAGCTCTCCCCGGCTCCCTGCGTGGGGTCTGGCCCAGAGAAGTTTCCCTATAACACCTTCTCCAGGGAATCCGGGAGCACCGCCCTCACGGGGTCCACGTGACAGCCGCCTCCCAGGGCTCCCAAAGCTGCCCAGCCCGACGCAGGGCTCGCAGCGGGAAAGGGGTTCTGAGGTGACGGGTGTCGATGCAGACAAGCTGGGGCCAGCCTCTCGCCCTGAGACGGGTTTTGCAACCTATCAAGGGCAAAGCGGGGCTCTTGGAGTATCTGTTATGGAGCCAAGAATCTGAACCGGCTACCCTGGCTGCCATAGCGCTTCTTTCCCAGCTGAAATGGGGAATGTGTGTCCCCAGCTATTTCTGCTGAATTCAGGGCCCGCGGGTCGCCTCTCAAGACGGGCGGGCTCCCAGGGCGGGCTGTGTGACCCCAGGGTTTGGGCACTTGGGTGAACACCAGTCCTGCATGTGTCAGGGGCACCACTGGGAACATTGATTCGAACTAGGGTCCCAGCCCTGGGGTCCCGCGTTTCACCCAGCCCTGGGGGCCGGCGTCTCGCTGACCCTCCCGAGCCAGCTGCAGCTTACCGCTGAGAGGATGGGGGACGGTGAACTGCTTCTTGTTGGCGCGGACGGGAAGGAGACTCTGCTTCGGAGCCAGGCTCTCCTTCTGCTGGGCTTTTCTCTGCTGGACCATATGCTCAAGCTTCTTCAGACGTTCTTGCGAGCGAGAAATGAACTGAGGCTTGCGGACTTCCAGGGCCTCCTAGAGGAGCCAAGAAAACATTTTACGAACTTATGCCTGCTTATGTATTCATGTATTTATTTTTTATTTCTTGGCCACACTGCAAGGTAGGCAGAATCTTTGTTCCCCAGCCAGGGATCGAACCCACACCTCCTGTATCAGAACTACAGAGTCCTAACAACTGGGGAACTGCCAAAACCTTTTAAGAGCAGTGTCATGAAAAAGCAATGCATCCGTCTGATTTGGTCAAGAGGCTGATCAAAAGTACACTGCAAAAGCACGCCCTAATTTTCTTCCAACCCCTCACGGACAGATGGCCACAGACCTGTTGATGACACAGGTCTCAGTTAGCACTGAGGGCCCCACTGTAGCATGACTGAGTTACCAGCACCAAAGGCACACCTCTGCCTATTTCTCCTTCCACCTGGCAATTCATTCATCTCCAACAGATCAAAATCTGAACGCCCCGAAATGCTATATTCCAAGGTGACACAGTGGGAAAGGAATGCAAGCCTTAGGAGTCACCTGCTTCTGCCGGGGGCTGGATGCCTTCTGGAAGCTCAGAACGAGATCATTCTCCCAGCATGACTCGTGTATCTTTTCAGGAGAAGCAGTAATCATAGCGAACGGAAACAGCTTCTCCCCCCAGGAAGACAGAGCTGGCAGGAGAGCTTTTTCTTTGCAAAACGGTTCTGCAGACTCCATAGAGGAGGTCAGAATCCCTGTGCTTTCTCTTCAGCCTCATCTCTCTCTGCGTCCCTGACTTCATGCAAGAACAAAGCTCCCCACACAGGTTTACTGAAGAAGAGTAACCACCACTGATATGTCCTGCTCTGTGATAGACACTGACCTCAATGCTTTGTGGGCATCTGTCATCTAAGAATCCCTGCACGATTCTGGAAGGCAGACTTATTTCTCCCCCAGAGCCACGAACTCCTGGATGGCACAGGCTGTGTCTCCCCCACTTTGAACCCTGCACAGCCAGCGCCCCAGCTCTGCACGTGGAGGGGGCTCAGCACGGCCCAGGGCTGCGGCCGCAGCAGAAATACCCTCAGCCCCATTCCTCTCCCAGCCCTCGAGGGGCTCACAGTTTCCAGGCAGAGGGTGGCGTGGGCTCTGTCTGCGTCATGGATGTGCCCCTAGCTGTTGTGCCAGGAAAGGAGTCTCCTGGTCGCCTGGCCTCCAAGGTGCCAGCCCAGGTCCCGGGGCCTGGGGAGACGGCCCCTGGAACCGCCTGTGGGGCCCCGTGTGGCTGCTGTCCCAGCTGTCTGCCCCAAGGCTGGAGGCCCGGGCAGCTCCAGGGCCACCGGCGTCTCTCCCGATGGATCCACCCAGGGGGATGGGGGCGGAGCCCATGACCCATCTGCAGGGCGGTTTACAACACCCATGTCTCTCAGGAGGCATGGCTAGCCTTCTCCGGGTTGTTTGTCTTCCTAATCTTTATATCTGTGTATTTTTTGAACTTTAAAAAAAAAATGTGTTCACCTTACTTCTACAATTGGGAAAAGACACAAAATGAAAGCTGCCATATCCTCGAACTCAAGCCCCTGTGACCTTGGGACTACCTTCATCTTTCAAAGGCTTAACATACTTGTCTGAAGACGGGGCTGTAGGGACGGACTCCCGCCTCATTGGGGTGAACCTCTCCTTGTCTGGGCCCCAGAAAGTTCTCGACAAATGCCGGCTCTCCTCGCTCCAATCACGGTCACCATTGATGGCATGCGATCCCCAACCTAGCCTGGGTAGATAGCACCAGCTCCTTCCTCACACAGGGGTATAGAGTCCCAGGGAGGTTAGGGGATCTGCCCAGAGTCACACAGCCACCAGGAAGTGGAGTCAGCTCTCCAGCAGCAGAAGTGAGGACGTGTGTCCACAGTCTCCCCAGGAAGTCTCCCCTCGGCGGGAATCGTGTCGGAATGTACGGTGGCAGTCAAGCCGGACCATGCCTTACCTGCAAGGTCAGGGAGCTTTCGGGCCCTTGCTGGCTCTCGGAACAGTCTTCTGGCAGGACGTGGGTCGCTGGGTCCTCGGGGGGCGCTGGTTCGGGCGGTGCTGGCTCGGACTCGGGGTTGATAGGGTGCTCACTCTCCTTGCATTCCTTTATTTTAACAACCAAGTCACAGCATGTGTAATCCCCTGGGAGAGAAGATTTAGAATTCCATTTAGAGGGCACCGAGGCTTTTCTCCTGGCTTCTCAACACCATTAGACACAGAAGACAATTTGGAAAATGGAAATGCCAGTGGGTTATTAATGGGCCTCGTTAAGCCGACGAGATCACGCCCATCACAGCCCCCGGGGTGCCCTGGTCGCAGGGAGGCATGTCTGTGGACAGCCAGACTCGAGACTGGCTATGCCACGCAGGTATTCCCTTGGCAAAAATGCTTTTGCAGCCAAGGCAAAGAAACTTCCTCTATCTTGCACTTCATATTTCGTGTGTCCTGTGCAATTAATACAGTTGGGTTGTTTGGGGAACGTGAATTAATTTATCTTGTGTTTGATACACTAATGATGTAAGACAGAGGAACGGTGTTCAATGATTTATCCCGCCCCTTAATTACTGGGGAGCAGCACTGGCTTGGCACTCGTAATTGGGACTGTGTCTCAGCACTGGGTTTAGCCCCATCCTGCCGCCGTTCTCACACCCTTTGGTGGAAAAGGTCAGGGCTGGAGCCGACGTCACAGCACTTGGGGCAGAGTTGTCTTTGGGGTGCTGAGAGGGGGGGATTCGTATGGACTCACTGACCACTTACTGACCAACTGCTCCGCAGGGAACACAGTGGCTGTCTCAGCTCACTCGTCCCATCTGAACTCCCTCCTACCCCATCACACGTCCCCCTAACCACAGCCTCACCAGCCCTCTGTGGTCTGAAACCCAACCGCGTTCTCCTTTCTCCTTGCCCACACGCCCTCCCATCTCCACGAAACCCCTTTGATCCTACCACCCGGTGACCTCCAACCTTCAGGCTGAGCCCAGATTTTTCAGGAAGCCTGCCGCCCCTTCCCAGGCACACTGCATCCTGCCCTCTGTGTGTGCCCGCTGTGTGTACCACACAGTGAACACACCGCACACATTAGCAGCATCAGTGGGGCCACTGCAGGATGCTCCAGCCCCACAAGCCTGGGACCTTCCGGAGGGCTGGACCACATCATGTTCACCCTGAGCCTCTCCAAACTGCCAGCCTGGGTGCCCTGGAGCAGCTGGTTCTGCTGGGTGGGGAGAGATGGTCATTACGAGGCTCATGTGACCACAGGATGCAACTCCACGGTCCCATGGGTCCCTTAACTGACCCCACAGTGTAACCTCCGCCATCACACCAAGATCTCTGGTCTGGACCAGCTGTCCTACATTCTCCCAAGGTCCACTAATGCCCCTGCTACCGACAAGCTCTACAAGCACACCAGATGTCTCACAGCTCATTCACGATGCATGTTGCCCGCCAAGTACCAATTTCAGTTCTTTGCCAACAACATGCTACTTAGAAGTTCACAAATCATTCTTGTTTTTCCAAACATTTGCTCCTGGTCTTTCTAGATCTTTCCCTATTGCTCCCCATTCCTGCTTCAGGACTGATTCCTAGCTGAGATATTTGTCCCCAGCCCTCCAGCCAGAGTTAATTCCACTTTCCACCGCACTGCTTCCATGCCGTGTGAAACTTTATCCTAGCTCACCCCACACTCAGGGAAGCCAGAGGTCCTCCCATGCTCCGCCACTGCCAGATCCAGAGACCCCAAGAGCAGTGCCAACATGCCCGTCATCCTCAGCGCTCACAGCACAGCTCCATCCATTACCTCCCTAGTCTCCGCTTGGGCGGCCAGGCCTCCACGGTGACGTGCTCTGTACTCAGGTCTGGCTGGCCTCAGCACCGTCTCCCCGCCCCGCACTTGGACCTCTCCCATCCGTCCTCCACACAGTCCAGGAGACACCCGCCTTCAGGGAACATCCAGTCAGGTCTCCTCCAAGGACTTGGCCCAGCATCCCGTCCAGATCCCTTTGTGGGTTAATACGGACCTTAGGTTCCTGCGGGCCTCCCCTGCACCCCACACTGTGGTCCCCCGGATCCCACATCAGCCCTGCCCTTTCCATCCACTCTTTGCTTTCTGGGTATCTTTCCCTCTGCCCTTGGGGTCTGATTTTTCTTCCTCAAAAGCACTTCCTTGAGGAGGATGTCTCTGTCCATCCTCACCTTGTATCACCTGGGGCGTCCTCAGCTTCCTGGCAGGTCACCCCAGGCACGGTTATGACCGCAGGGACTCTGGCATGGGACTGCAAGCACCCTGAGGGCAGGAAGCCCTGAGCCCCGTGCCTGACACACAGTAGGTGTGTAATAAGTGCTTCTCTGATGGCATATAGTGGGCATTCAATACATGCTTCTTTCATTTATTAAGGAATAACAAGCTAGAGATTCACTTGTGTTCCCACAAAAATTATTTTCATCAATTACCGTAAATACTTTTTAACTTTTCCAATCCAAAGCTCTAGAATCTAATAGCTTTCTTTCTGTCCTTAGCTATAGCTCTTTGGGGACATTTTTATAGAGTGATTGGAAATCTAAATTTTCCTCTGATATAACTGAGCACCAGATATCTTTTTCACTGTTTTATTCCTAAATGTTTTTTAATATATCAATAGTTTCTGCAGTATTAGTTGAGGTCAGCCCCTTGGCCTTCAGAGAAAGGATGGTCCAGTTTGAATTCAGCCTCGAGAGAGGCTGAGAGTGCCTCAAAGGCACTGTGAGGTCAGGGCCCTCGGGCCTGTGAGTGCCTGGTGCATATAGTACAAGCACCCCTCAGCCATTAGCCCAGCTGGTCAGCTACCGAGGACCATGGGCAGCCTGGTGGGCCCGCTGCCTTTGGGGCAGCCACACCAGCATCTCAGCGCTTCCCTGACTCCGCCCGAGAGCCTGCTGGGCGCCTAGAGGTGGCCTTCACCCAGCCCCAGGCGATGCAGGCCTTGTGCACCGCAGGGCTGGGAGTTCTGACCTGGGCAGCGCTGCCTTCTCCCTGCCTGCGAGGCAGACCTGCCCACCATTTAGACCTGCTGGCCTTGCTTCCCTCATGGCTCACAGATGCATAAAGGCAGCATCACAAGGGAAGCTGGGGGGAACCAGGGCCCAGAAGACCCTGCACTCTTTTCCCTGTGAAGATCAAGGAAGAACCGCCTCATCCCTGCCTCCCTCGCTCCTTACCTTCCGGGGCCTGTCTTTCTATCTGAGCACCGTGTTCCTCCTGCGGAGATGCGCACAGATCTTGGAAGGGGCAAAGGAACCCTGGCAAAGGGGCCCTGGGTTTGGGGAGGCGCTGCTGCTGACTCTCTGTGGGTTCAGAGAGGTCACTAGACTGAGAGCTGTTGCTTGGAGAGCTAGAACCATCAGGAAGGGGGTCTCTAACCAGCTTCCATTCCACTGGGGGAGCAGACACGATCTCACGTGCTCCTTCTTGTTGCTTCTCGCTGCTTCCAGAAAATACGTTTGGTTCTACTAAAAATAAAATGAGAGTTGTGCTGAAAACATCTGATGAGCCCACATCTGAAGTAGTGACTTCTGCACTCCAGGCTCTCCCAGAGACAAGCAGATGGACTGCAGCGCTGCCTGGGGTGAGCGGGGCGGGGGGAGACGGGGGGCGGGAGGGATACAGGAGTCACTGATGCCCGAGGGCACACATTCCCCCAGCAACAACAACACATGTGGTCACCAGTCCTGGCCAGATGTCCCGGGGTTCACTCGGGAGCTCCTCCACATTCACTGCTGTCATGTATAAAGCTCTCAAGAAACCGCACTCCCTCGTACACTCAGGAGGTCGGAAGCCCCTCTGGACGGTAGATAATTGAGCAGGCCGCTTAGCCCACTGACTCTGGGCCAGATACTTGGGTTCAGTGCCTACCACCACCACTTGTATGCTATCTGGCCTCATCTATAAAACTGAGGTTGACACTATAACAAGGTAAGAATATTAAATATTATGTGCTTAATTTTATTATTATATTCATTTTTATTAATATAATGAATTTACCTACTTAAATAAGCAATATATTTATATCATCATAATTGATATAATAAATAACATACATATTTATATAAATACTAAATGTTAAAATCTAGGCAATACTATAATAAAATAATGATCCAGGTAAGGTGTTTTGTGCAGTAGCTGATACTACTGAGCATGTAATAAATGTTTGCTATCATTGTTATTCCAGAAACACTGATGCTGCGTGTGTCCTGCCGCGAGTGTGGAGGCAGGAGGTGACTCATCAGGTGCCTGTGCTCACGTCTAATGCAGCAGTGGGTCTAAAACATGTACAGTGTGTGGCTTGTTGCCGCAATGTCATATCAAAGGCCTGCAAACCACTTTATACTTCTCAGTAGGGGCCTGTTAAGTTACAGCACTTCGTACTTTGCAGCCGTGAAAAAGAATGAGGCGCATGCTCTTGTGTAGTCAGGGAATCGTCTTTAAATCCATTATCAAGCGAGCAAAGAGTGGCCAGCGCGTCAGTCCTGCCTCCTGAGCCCACGCTTGTTTGCTGAGTGTCTCTGGGAGGACCCAGAAGACCCTGGGACCGGGAGAGGGCAACACGGGACCAGGAACTGGGGGTGGGAGGGAGGCTTTCTCTTCTACTCTTTGCTGATTTTGTACTCTTTTTGTTTTCTTCTTCTTCTTTTAGAATACTCTCTCTATATATATATATATATTTTTTTTTTTTTTTTAATTTGGCTGCACCAGGCAGTATGTGGAACCCGAGCCCCTGACCTGGACTGAACCTGCCCCCCTGCAGTGGAGGCGCAGTCTTAGCCCTGGGCCTCCAGGGAAGTCTCCATGAATCGTTCAAAGTTATTCACTTTGAGTACGGCAGTGAGTCCTCCCTCACTGGGTGCCATCTCTTCCCAGTGCTGAGGCCCCCAAAGTGGAGACAGGCACAGCTGCCAGTGGGGTGCAGGCAGACCTCTGGCATCCAGGGGCAGATGAAAAGGTCCTGGGAACCACTGGCATAGTCAAGATTCTTGGAAGACCCTGACCATATTTTCTGAGATGTTTTATACACAAAAAGGAAATGAGTCTATGACCACCAGGCGCTGATTAGAACAGTGACTTTGCTTAAAATGCCAGTTGTCTGCAACCCACTCCAGCCCCGTCTTCTCTGAGTCTGGGCACCCTGGCCAGTGAGGACAGGTGGTGGGGTGGTGAGGCTGGCAGAGCAGCGGGGGAGACAGAACCCAGGGGTCCCCTCAGTGGGCTTCCTGGCTGTGGGACCAAGGCAGGAGAGCCAGCAACGGGGTGGAGCCAGTAGGCCTGCTTCCACGGACAAAGGGAAGGGCAAGTGCCCCTGGGCACTTCTGCCTGGAACGTGAGTGCCCCCACAAATGGTAGTCATTACTGACCTTGTCATCTGGAGCAGGATATGCAGCCATGAAATGAAAAGATGCTTGCTCCTTGGAAGGAAAGCTATGGCAAACCTAGATGATGTGTTAAAAAGCAGAGATATCACTTTGCCAACAGAGGTCTGTGTAGTCAAAGCTATGGTTTTTCCAGTAGTCATGTGACAGCTGGACCATAAAGAAGGCTGAGCACCAAAAAATTGATGCTTTTGAATTGAGAGGCTGGAGAAGACTCTTGAGAGTCGTTTGGACTGCAAGGAGATCAAACCAGTGAATCCTAAAGGAAAACAACCCTGAATATTCATCTGAAGGACTGATGCTGAAGCTGAGGCTCCAATACTTTGGCCACCTGATATGAAGAGACAACTCATTGGAAAAAACCCTGATGCTGGGAAAGATGGAAGGTAAAAGGAGAAGGGGGCAGCAGAAGATGAGATGGTTAGATCGCATCACCAACTCAATGGACATGAATTTGAGCAAACTCTGGGAGATAGTGGAGGAGCCTGGCATGCTGTAGTCCATGGGGTCACAAGGGTCGGACATGACTTAGTGACCGAACAACAAAAGTGGCTCTTATGGCAAAGTTGGGCTTTGCTAATTTATAGAGAAATCTTAACAACTGAGTATTTCAAAAGCTGTCAGTTCTGTTTAAGTATAAAATATCATGGGCTTCCCTGGTGGCTCAGATGGTAAGTGGAAAAGTCCTAAAGTAGTTCTTCCTTTCTCTGTGGCTTCATTTTATCAGTTCTTTTAAACAATCAAAAATCAATTATCAGTGATGCAGTCCCAGTCTGCTAGTTCCATCCTGACATCAGATTCTTTAAATTAATGGATTATTTACAGACTAATGGAGGTCTAACTACCTATCCCACACCTACCTACTTACCTACCTATTAATTTTCTAACTTTCTATCTGATTTAATGTAAATTCTCATGTGAGCGATTATGTGCAAATCAGATGTTCCAACTGTGACTTGAAAGAGTTAAAACAAATTCCTCAAAGTAGAACGCAGGTGGTGAACTGAGAAAAAGAAAAAGGTGTAGTCAAAGAAAAACTTTCCTGACAACGTATTGATCAGGCCTTTTTGTGGATTCTGAGAAGCACAACCATCAGCCGTGAAATGATCCCCCAGTGAGGCCTACACCAGGCAACAAGGTCTTATTTTTCTCTGCATGCAGACTGCACTTAAGAGGTCTCTATTCATGGCTCAAATTTAAAACTGCATCACCCTTATGAAGACCTGTCGCCTCCAAAGGCCCTGCCCTTCGTAGGAGAAGCCGAATCAAACACAGCTTCTGCCAGGCATTTTTGTTTCTTGGACTGGAACTCAGAACGTGCTTCCTGAGCCCGTGGCCTGAAGGGGCTGGGCCCTGAAGGTTCCCTTTCAACAGCGAAACCCCCTCCATTTCCTTCTCTGAACATCGGACCCTCAACCATCCAGCAAGCTCACCTACCCAGAGCTGGGCTGGGCTCTAGGCGGTAAGCCGAAACCAGCCACAGAACCTGCCTAATGGCCACGAATTCCTTCTATTATATTCGACTGGGGAACTAACACAAAACCCCCTTGGTCAATATAAAAATCCTGCCCGGCATTTTTTTATTTTGGCTGGCCAAAAAATTCATTGTTATTTTACTAACACTTTGCAGGTTATTACAGTCAATAGTTACACCTGACATGCCTGTGAGGTCTTCCCTAGTCATGTGAGCTTTGCTTTCACTTTCCATATCAGAGTCAGTCGCTAAGGTTTTTTGTCTTTTTGTTAAGGTCTAGTATTCACATCGTCTGCATCGGAATTATATTCTCAAGAACTAGCATCTTCTGACACGCTAAGGTAAGTGTCACTCAGACATCAGAGAAAGTATCTACATAAAACTCCCTGAAAAAATTCTTCTTCACTCACAATTTTATAATGTGTCACTTTTGAAAATTCTATGGTAATAAACTTGTGTTTATAATATACACAAGGTTGGAACAAAGGTCTAAGGGAACAAAATGTGAATGATAACAACAACCATAAGTTGTATAAGGAGCCTTAAATTTTAAGCTCTAACAGCTTTACACAGTGATGTTAATTGCATCACTCTTTAAAAACATATTGATAAGTCTCCAGTCAATAATGTTTGAGTAATAAAGATGTATTAATGTCTCCAGGCAACAATGTGTTAAACTCTTATCTTTAGATCAGTTAAGTCCTCCTTGGACCATCACTGTGCTTACCTGGGCTCCTCTAAAACTCGTTATTTGTTGTGAAATGTATTACTGTTTATAGTTAAAGCTATCAGAGTACCCATGAATCCTCACAGATAAGCAGAAATTTTCTTGGGCTTCAACTTTTCTACCTGAGCCCCTTCTGGATCATACTTGTCCAGACAGAACCATCTGCCTAAATTTTGAGCCGCCTGGTTCATTGCTTTAATCTACAACGTTCCCACCTATGTAGGTATCCACAGACAATATATTCTCAATATGGAAAATCTGAATAGCAAGCATGAAGCCAGCTGTTTTAAGGTAAAGACATCATTGCATCTTTTAGGGAAAAGCCTTCAGGAGAAGAGAGTTCGCAGACTTGCTGGGCCATCACTTCCCTAAAAGTTGATGGGATGTGATTCTGGGGAACAACAGCCTCTGCAAACAAGGGGCTGGCCACAGTCAGGGTGTCAGGCAGGGCCGGCAGACAGCAGGACAGTCAGGGGAGCAGGTTGTGCCAGATTTTCTGTTCCTGACTCACCGTGTCCCCTTGCAGACCTCAGGGCTGGGTTCCAGCAGGGCGCTTCTCTGTGCTGAAATAAGGGTCCTGAGCTGCCCCAGCTTTAGGGTGGGAGAGGATGGGGAGGACAGTGGGGACCTTGCCAACAAAGCAACAAGAAGATACTTGAATCTGCCCCAGGGTACCACTGGGGCACGCAGACCTTAGTACAAAATGCAGAAAAGCTTCCCGAGACTCAAGATGCTTGGCCTCCACCGGCCAGAAAGCGCCATAATGAACCAATTTGATAGAAGAAGGTATTGCACTCCTTTCCAAGTATTAAGATGATATGTACTCTTTCATGTTCTCAGATGAGCCCCTGTTGAGCCATGGCTCCCTGGTTGGCACACAATTCT